ATTTTCTCATCAAGTAAACAGGGATGACAAACACCCCCAACTTAACGCTTTGCTCAAAGTATTAAAGTGAGATCTTAGACGGTATGGAGCACTGTGTCCAATGGGTGACCTTAAGTTCACAGCCAAGTATTACTTCCTCGCCGCTCACCCTCATCATGACTGTTAAGCCCTCTGTTACTCTTTATCAGCAACAGTGATCATCTAGCCTGATGATTTTTTTCAGCAACTGGAGTCGCTGTTCTCCTTAAAGTATAACATCTTAGCACAGCCCATGAGGGCCTGGAGAGCCTATGAAAGCCATCCCTGCAGTCAAACCCCATCTCTCCCTTGTCCTCAGCACTCCAAGCCCGTCACCCTCCTTTGCGCTCCTGCGCTCTCCACTGCTGCCCCGCTTGCCTGTCTGGCTCCTTCTCATCCTCCAGGCCGCAGGTCACTGGCTCGTAGAAGGACACTTCACGACCACTCTAGAAAGATCTTCTCCCATCAGTCACTCTCCCCCACGGCCCTGTTTCTTTCCAGCAGGACATGTAGGTACAACCTGAAAAAACTATCCTTTCCGTGTCTGTTTGCTTGTTTAACATCTGTCTGCTCGATAGGGTTTGTGTTCCTCCAGGCAGGGGTCTTATGCGGTTCTCAGCTGCCTTCTCTGAACAGGCTCCCAACCAGGGTTTAATAAATAAGCGAATGAACTCATCGGAATAATGATTTTTTGAACTGGTTTCCCCACCAAAGGACAATAAGACAAGGATTTGGGTGCAAGTGGTTTGTTCCGGAGGCAGTTACAGGAAAAAACCAGCCAAGATGTAGAGACAGGGAAGAAAAAGGGACAGAAGCTGGCAAAGCATGGATGCTCACGCACCTTACCACTGAGGGCAGTCGGGCTCGCTCTGGGGAACGCTGGGAGGACAGCAGAAGAGCCGTGAGGTGTCCACGCTTCCCACCCTCGCCGCAGGAGAGGCATTCTCCCTCTCCCCACCAGTTCACGTGAGCTATGGACTGAGGACTAATGCTCCTAAACATTTCCAGCTCACTGCACAATAGGCAGAGTGGGCTCCCGAGGCCAGACAGAGCACTCACCCGGCGGCTGGAAATCAGGCAGGGTATACCTCCAAGTGCTAAGTTCCAAGGACGTGTGAGACAGTGACCGTAAAGGTGGAAACAAAACTCAGGGCACACAGGCCAGCATGGAAAGTCAAGACCACTCTCTCAAATCTATAATTCATGCCCCATACACACAGCCTTCATATGATACACAGAGTGGTATACACACAGTATGTCTACAGCAGCTAACTTTTCTGCTGTCTTCCCAAAGGCCATTTTGAACAAAGCATGACTACAAAAAATAAAATCGACTGAGAGGCAAGACAATGTGTCATTAAGTACCGCTTCTTGAATACCTAGGCCCACATACCAGGACACCCCAACAGTGGTCTGGGGAATGGCTCCGACTCCTTGACATGATTCTGAAATAACCAGTATCACATTAACAAGGTTTATGCTGCAAATTACTCTGTGCAAAGTGCTATTAAAAGTCAGCAATGAGTGAAAATAGCCTTCACAATTTCATGTCAACATTCAAACCCTAGATTGAGTCTCTCCTCTCCAGTTTCTTTCAAATAATTATCTTCCCTGGATTAAATGGTATTTTTTAATTCAATAGCGTACCTCAGCCATATGTTTATTTTATTTGTATGAAGGAGGAAGGTATCTTAATTTCTCATAATAAGAGCTTTCGTGAAAGCAGGAAATTCAGTGACATGGTAGTAATCAAAACTGAATTCTATACAAGAGGTAAATTATATTGCCTTCCAAATTAATTTGCAAATGGTCACAATAGAAATAAAATGCAGGCGAGATTCTGATTTCCCTTTTGCAAAAGCTCAGCTCCTCTGTAAACAGGAGGAGAAAACTCACCAAGGAGCATGGCATCAGGTTAGGTCACGTGCCAGAAAGCCCAAGTTTAGCCTCAGAAGTGAAAGCATGACAGATAATGAGGGAAAGCTGCCTCTGATCCTTCTCTTCTGTTTCTTTACATCATGTGGCTGATCCTGGGAGATACCAGCATCCAGCTGCAGAAACTGGAATGAAGAAAGGACCTCCTTGAAGACACAGCTCTGCAGCATTGCAAGCCCTCTAACCCCCTTCTTAGGAAGCCTCTAGACTGATCCCATCCCCAAGAAGTTATTTATTTTTAACACGTGCAGTACAGATTTTTCTTTGAAATCTACTTCTGTTGATGGATAGGGTCTTTGACCACATTGAGCAGCTTGAAGCCAAGGATGCAGGAAGTGTATATTAGCTTCCTGTGGCTGCTGTAACAAATGACCACAGACTTAGCATCTTAGAGCAACACAAAGGTATCCTCTTGCTGTTCAGGTCAGAGGAGAATACACCCCCTCAGTGATTTTCAGCTTTCTAGGATCGCCTGTATCCCTTTGCTCATGGCCCCACAATACTCCAACCTCTGCTTCCCTCATCCTGTCTCTTTCATTTCCTTTGACCTCCTTGCCTTCCTGTTACCCTTAAACCCATGTGGATAATCCAGAGCCACCTTCTCACTTCAAGACCCCTAATAATACCTGCAAAGCCGCTGTGCCATGGAAGGCATTCACAGTCTGGGGATTAGGATGAGGACATCTTTGGGGGCCATGACTCTGCCTACCTCAGTGGCAATCACCATTGTATCTCAAGCTGCATCCAGGTAACGTGAGCTACAGTGAAATGGCAATAAAATAAGGGAACTGAGTGCATTGCTTTGAATGTGAACTCAGGCCATGGATCCTGGCTCTACTGAGTTAGCCGTACCAGTTTCTTGAACCTCTCTGAACCTATAATTTCTTCACCTGTGAGCACTCACCTTGAGTAGTTAAGATAAATTAGATAATACCTGCTGAGAGTTCTGCCAGTGCCCGCTACACTCAGAGCTCAATAAGCTCTCACTGAGACACCAGTGAACCAGGGGTCAGCAAATGTATTCTGTCAAGGGTCAAGCAGTAAGTATTCTCAGCTTTGAAGGCCATATGATCTCTTTTACAACTATGCAGTTCTGCAAATATAGCACAAAAGCAGTCATAGACATACATACATGAATGAGTGAGGCTATGTTCAAAAAACTTTATTTAAGGACATTCAAATTTTAACTTCATGTAGTTTTCATGTCATGAAATATTATTTTTATTTCTTCCCCAACCATTTTAAAATGAAAAAAAAAAAAAATTCTTACCTTGTAGGCCTTTCAAAAACAAGTGCTGGATTTGGCCCAGGGATTCTGGGTTACTGAACCCTGACCTCTATGACCTTCAGAATCCTTTCTATTTGAGAGTCTGCATGTGTGCATTCTCAGTTGCTCAGTTATGTCCTACTCTTTGCAACCCCACAGACTATAACCTGCCAGACTCCTCTGTCCATGCAATTTTCCAGGCAAGAATACTGGATTGGGTTGCCATTTCCTCCTCTAGGGGATCCTCCCCACCCAGGGATCGAATACACATTCCCTGCATCTCCTGCACTGGCAGGCAGATTCTTTACCACTGCTCCATCTGGGAAGTCCGTCTGAGAGTCTTCAATTCTACTAACCAGAAAATCACAGTGGGGGAAGAGCAGAAGTAGTCAAACCATTCTCAAGTCCAGACTTCACTTCTTAGATAGCTGGCTTACCTCAGTAGCTGATCTAATCTCTCTGAGTATCTCTCGCCAGGCAAATGATAAAGAATTATCTACTATGGGAATTACAAACCTTACAATAAGCAAATGGACCTCTGTCACAGAGTAGGTGCTCAGTAAATGTTAGTTCTCATTCATCTTCATTCACCTGGAGGAAGGAATTTCTTCATTGGAAGAATTTGGCTGTGAACTGGTCTTTTAAAGAAGCAGTTTGCAGTAACAAGATGGGAATGCTGAAAAGGTGTTCTCTGCTCTTAACAGCCTGTGAGACCCTGTGATCTAGGCTTCCCTGGTGACTCAGCGCTAAAGAATCTGCCTGCAGTGCAGCAGATGTGAGTTCAATCCCTGGGTTGGGAAGATCTCCTGGAGAAGGAAATGGCAACCCGCCCCAGTACTCTTGCCTGGAAAATCGCATGGACAGAGGAGCCTGGCAGGCTACAGTCCTCCGGGTCACAAAGAGCCGGACACGACTGAGCAACCAAACAGCAACAACGACAACCCAGTGATCTACCCAAACTCATGATGAATAAGAAGCAGCAGTGATTCTAGGTGATTTTGCACCCTGCACTTGTTGGGCCAAGACTGGGTTTGACAGAGGAACCACGTGCCTGCTGCCAAATCCTTCGGAAAACTCTCCTTCGTTCTGGGGGTTGAGAGCTGGAGAGGAGTTCTTGGGTTGGGTCCAAGGTTAACTGTGTTTGAACTGAAGGTTAGGAATTTCTCAACTCATTGACAGTAAACTGAGAAGGCAAGTCTGTTGTACTCTGTGCGTCCTATTCAATCTCTGCGCCCCGACACCCCTGGCCCCCACCCAACCCTAGCCACCAAACCCTCCCCCTGAACATCATCCACAGCAGCAAATGGAAGCTCGCAGTGATAAAACACCAGCTAAGCGCTTACATCATTTTACAATCAAACATCTCCAAATCTGTTTATCTGATCAGCCCCAGATTCTGTCAGAGCGTTGACATGTGCATTTCTAAATAATTTCAGGATGTCAACCTGAATAGACCTGCAGAATTGGAAAGTTAATTATCTTTGACAACTTTGCCAGCTAATTTCCTATTTGTATGTACCAAACGGGGGGCCTGTTTCATCCCCTCTCGTCACAAAGGATTTATCAATCAAATCAAGGCCTGAGATTGTCTGCCAAGGCATTTGGGCTTCCCAAAGGGGCGGTGATCTGTCTGAAATCCTGCCGACTATCCAGCGACAGCAAAGTTGACAGGACACAGAAGCCAAGCTGCATCCTTCCTGGGGGAGGCCCCACTGCCCGGAGCCCCCAGCTCAGTACCCCCACCCTCTCTCCTTTCTCTCGTCGTGATCTGGGGGCCTTGTCAGGCCCCCGTTTCCGAAGCAGCACCGCTTCCCCTCTGGGTCTCAGCGGACAGGCCCCACCAGACACCAGGGCCCTGCTTGTCAGAGCACACTGACTGACCCTCGCTCAGGAAGGCGGGCCCCAGAGACTCAACAAGCGGGCTGGCGCTGACCGGCGTTTTGACAGCGGCGATCAGGCTCCTGTGGTAGCTGCTTCTCTCTGACAGGCAGGCACGTTTCACTTTAATGGCCATTTCTGCTGCCGAGCTCCCTGGACTGGACGGCGGCTCTGCAAGATTGCAGCGGGCTGTCGCCGAGCTGGCCGAGGGGCCCGTGCAGGCCGGGAGGCTTGCCTGTAATTCTCTTATTGGTTCCTCATGCTCGACTCAGCCTGCTGAGGAGGCAGCTGCAACATGACAGGATAACAAGGCTGGCCTGGACCTGCCTGGTTCCTGCCCACCCATCAGAGGCACCGACCAGAAGGAAGTCTCAGGAGGAAGGTGTTCCTGTAGCTCACTCAGCTATTCAACGCCTATTCATGTTGATCATTGTGTAGATGGACCCTGTCTTTCAGAAACATCCCAATTTAACGGATGACATTCCTTTACTTCTCTTGCTTCATTTATGTCAAGCACCTTGTGTGTGCAAAGTGCTCAGCACCAAGTTCTCAGCACTAAGATAACAGTAAAAACAATAAAATAGAAAGAGTAAGGAAAAAAGGATCTATTCTAATGGAGCTCATCTTCTATTGCAGCAAACTATGCGTGATAGGCAGAACAAGGCCCCTGACCTGTTTTGTAAATAAAGTTTAACTGGCACTCAGCCACATCCACTTATTTGCATACTATCTCTGGCTGCTTTTGAGCTACAACAGTGGGGAACTGAGCAGATTTAACAGAGCCCATACATCCCACAAAGTCCACTTACTATCTGGCCCTTTACAGAAAACATTTGCTGACAAATACAGATAATTTCCCTGGAGAAGGGAATGGCAAACCACTCCAGTAGTCTTGCCTGGAGAATCCCAGGGACAGAGGAGCCTGGTGGGCTAGAGTCCATGAGGTCAAAAGAGTTGGACACAACTCAGTAACTAAACCACCACCAGAGATAATTTCAACACAAGTTAAGTGGAAACAGATACACAGAGTCCAGAGGAAGCCTATGTGATGGTTGGCCTATTTAGTCACTGTTGGTGCTACAGGGCCTGAAACAGGGCTTGGCAGAGAGCAGTAGCTGCTCACTAAAAAGTTCTTTATTGGCTGGATGAAGGAAAGAATGGATGTTCTGATGGGGCAGTTGGGAAGCTTCCAGAAGGTTTGATGAAGGAGGGAATAAGTAAGCTGTATCTGAAGAATAAAAAGTACTCATAAGAAGAAGAAGAAAGAAAAAGGCTTTCTTGGAGACAGAAATTCACTTGTAACACCTGCTTATCAGGGGCCTGACACGGGAAACCGCAGCGAAGGAAGGAAGAGCTGGTGGCACACAGGACCTGAATGGGGTCAAAGGGAAGTGCATCAGGAAGTCAGGGGGCAGTGACACGAGGTGAAGACATGTGATCTGTGACCTCACTGCACACAGGCAGTGTGCCCTCCATGCCCAGACTTCACTGACCCCACACTTGGGAGTCCCTCCCTTGAAACAGACCTCGGTCTTCACTCCTCCCTTCTGGAGCACTCGTGGGCCCTTCACCGCAGATGTGGAGGCAGTGCCCCCCAGAGCTCCAGGATTCACACTATGAGGTCCTCCCGAGGCCCTGCGGCCAGACCCCGGCTCCAGGAACATGGCCTGCAGGTCAGGCTGGAGGAGAAAGAGACGCTTCCTGGCGAGTGGACGGCTCTCCCTTCTCTGCCCACAGGCCTCTTGCCTGGCTTCTCCTGTGCGTCCCGCTCGGCGGGTGGCGGGTGTCATCAACAGTGAAAGGGAGCACAGGCAAGGCGTGCAGTGATTATGTCCCTGACAGCTCCAGAGAAGACACCACTGGAGGACGGGTTGCTCCACATTTCATGTCAGTACAGAAAAGATTCCAAATGGTAGGTTTAACGTGCCCAGAAAATGAATCATCGTGCCTGTTTTCCTGCACACTCTTGGTAAGGCTGTATTGTGGTCAACATCAACAAAGCACAACCTCTGAATCAGTGGGAACCGGTATTCACAGGTAGCGCGAAGGATGACGCTGCGTCATGAGTAATATTGGAACCAGAGCTAAATCGATGGTATTGGGAGCAGCAGAAGCAAGAGTATCTGGATTGTTTTCAGTATAAACTGGTTATGAAAAGCCACGGCATTATGAGTAATAACAGGTTGCTACTTTCTGCTTATGATGGAAGATGTGAAATCAGCCAGGAATGACTTACTGACCATAAAAAGCACAAAGAAGCGGTCTCTGGACCTGAAGTAATGGTGCCTTTGTATGTGGAGACAGGACAACAAAAAAACTCATGTTCTCTGCCCCCTGTCCTACAGTATCATCAGTAAATCACCATACCTCATATGGTGAATAAATTTGATAATGAAATTACTTATAGACAAGGGCCCCACAAAGAATTGTTCCCAAGGGGTCCCGAAGATACAATATGCATTTCCATATCAGAAAGAGAAGTATCATGTTAAAAAACAAAAAATGCTGACAATTAAAGAGCCAATAAGTGACTTGGATGAATCCTCCCCTTTGCTGGTTACCCCCAGGAACTTCTTAGTCAGACCAGAAACTCGTCCTGAGTCCCTTTCTCTCTCCTCCTAGTTCTCACTTCCCAGGTTCTTCAGCACTTTTCATGTAATAAACCTGCCCTCAACCCACCTTCACCTCCCTACCCTGCTCAGCCCTTACTTTCTTTCCTCCAGCACATTCATTATGCTTTTGAGTATCTGTTTGATTTTCTCACTAGGTTCATCACAAATAGACTCTCTGATCTTCTGCGTTCCACTCACTACCTGGTTCTGCATCTTGAAATTCTAGAAACAGCCCTGGCAGAGGCTCTAGCTGAGACCAACTTACTGACCACTTCTGACCACTTCCTCTTTGATGGACTTTGCAGGAGGAGGAGGCCTCTGAACACTCTCATGTGACTAACATCATACCGGTCACATTGTGCTTGTCAGATGAAGTTTCTGGATTTTCTCCAAAAGTCAGAAGGATGAAATAAAGACCAAAATACAGATCATGGTGCTCGCCAGAACACTGGCTCCCAGCTGAAATAAAGTTTAGAGTAGATGGATAAAACTTGCATGAGAGGCTGTGTCAAGGAGATCTTGGAATCATGTAAGAGGTGGAGTTTCCAGCATCAGAGAGTATATGTGGCAGAAATGATGATATAAGATTCGGAGCATTAATTCTATAATTTGTTATCAATTTCAGTTTGATCCTTTTCTGAGCTTTTGCACATAAAAATTAATCTGTGCAGTTAATCTGTGTAAAAACTCTTGCCTCTGGGGCTCCCAATAATAGTGTATGGAGTGAAGACGGCAATGCCATTTCTCCCGTCTCCTCTCTACAGCCAACTTCATATCAACTGTTTAACTGTGTGTGTGTGTGTGTGTGCAGTCTTGATAGTAATCCTGCAAAGTAAGTGCAAGTCTTCAAAATATAAGGAAGTTAGATTTTTTGTGTGCGTTTAGAGTTTTTAATTAATAGACTATGTTTTAGAGCACTTTCAGGTCTGTAGAAAGACTGAGCAGAAAGTACAGTGAGTGCCCATATACCTTCCATTCTTTCTCTCCTCCACCCAGTTTGCCCTATTATTAGTATCCTGCATTAGTGTGGTGTATTTGTCACAGCTGATAGGCAAATACAACACACTTATCATTAACTCATGTCCACAGTCTATGTTAGGGTTCACGTTTTGTGTTGTACAGTTCTGTGGGTTGTGAGATGCTTTGTTTTAGACTGTTTTTTCGCTACACCTTTTAGTACCTGAGGATTCCTTAAAATTTTCTTTAAAGCACTAAAGCAACCACGTTTATATAAACAATAACTGAGCTCATTTTTCAATTACCTAAGGATATATGATTGCACATGAACACCTCCCATCAATTCAATCCCATCACATGCACACTGTGAGGCTTACAGTGTATCAGGTACTGGGCGATGTGCTGAGGAAAGCATGGTAAACAGAAAAATGTCCTTTCCCTCGTAAAGCTTGAGAGCTTACCATTAGAGATGAGTACCTGGTAAGTAAATACAATTAAGTACCCCTCTCAAAGGGCACACACAGAAGCTGCAAGAACCTACCCAAGGGGTCAGAATGATGGCTCTGACGTCACAGACGTCCCCGAAGCAAAGAGCCTCGATGTTCTGGTTCACTCTGGAGTCATCTCCCGAGTTGGTCCATGATCTCAGATAACTTCCCCTAAACTGGAGGCTGGCTCGGGTCCCCACTTCTACTTCTCTGGGACCCAGGGATCCCCAGCAGCCCCAGATCACGAGAGCCCATGCAAGACCCACAGGGCTCAGGCCCAGGGCTCCCAGAGCCACCTTCTGTCACCTCCCTCATCTGTGGAAAGAGGAATTCGCTGCCTCACCACCCGGACACCCTTTGTCCGACAGTGCTGAGCCAGCAAGTTAGAGCCTGCAGCTTATTTCCAACACAACGTTCCTCAGCTGCAAGGGCTGGCTGAAGGGACCTGCACATTTGGAGACTGTTAGCCTTGCAAGCTGAGGGCTTAAAACTATAAAAGTGTGTTTCCTGAGCCTGGGTGCTGCAAGTCTGAGATCAAGCTGTCAGCAGGGCCATGTTCCCAGCAAAGCCTCTAGGGGAGAATCTGCCCCAGGCCATTCTCCCAGCTTCTGGGGGCTGCTAGCTAGCCCTGACACCCCTTGGCCTGCAGACACTTTACTCCAGTCTTCGCCTCTGTTAGCACATGGTCTTCCCCTGGATTTCTTCATATTTGTATGTCCCAAAGGCCTCTTCTCATAAGGACACCAATCCCTGGACTTAGGGCCTCAACCTGATTACATCTACAAAGACCCTATTTCCAAATAAAATATGGCTGCATTCACAGGGGCTGCGGCTTAGGACTTGCACGCATCTTTGGGAGGGACAGGATCCAACCCACAGCACTGTGAGTTCATCATTCGCAACTGACTTCCACCAGAGTGAGACTAAGTGGAAGCAAAGATGAGGCCATAAGAAGAAAAGGATGCTGTTTCCTGACAGCCTATGAGTGGCACTGGTTGGCCTAAGAGCATGGACCATACCAAGCAGGATATACACGCATAGGTATGTCACGTCATTGGTGTGTGTCTCCAATCACGCGT